TTTCTTGATTTAATGATTTTTTTAATACTTTAGAAATAAATTATAACTGAGAATCAATGGGTTGTATCGAGTAAAAAACCAAATTTTTCAGCTAATTTGAAGGATTTTTATCCATATATTAATCCATGGGGCACTCGACGGGTATGAGCATTTCTTGATTTTACGATTTTTTTAATATTTTAAAAATAAATGAAATCTAATATTAAAAACTACTTTTCCTTTTTCCATTTATTGACTTTTCCTTCTCCGATTCTGCAAAAGAACACATTCTACTCTAAAACCAATTTTATACTTGAGGAGAGAGACACGAAGCCTTTCAACTTGCATCAAGATTTCATTTGGGCAAGACCCACGCGCGCTCTCCAGTGAAAAACATTTTCCCAGAATCCGCCTCAATTTAGGTTAAAAAATTGCCAGCGAAAAACAATCTTGCGCCGGAATATTGGATATAAAACCAAAGTTTCCGTCGCACGGGGTTGTAATCTGCGTGACACCTCGGCGGCGTTTTTTTTTTCTCATTTCGCACAATCAACAGCCCGCTCCGTTAATAACCTGCGCTTTTCTCCCCGCAAGGAATTCGACCGCAATCTGCGCGGAAATTACTTGTTGTCGCCGAGACCGGGATTTGCCAGAGAACAAACACTTTTATCACGTTCCAGCTTTAAGTTCTTTCTCGCCCGGTACGCATTTTATTGCCTCGGACAAGAAGATTTTTTTTCTTTTATTGGAGAAATAAAAAAAATCTGACCTTTCGCGCGTCGGATTAGCGGCCGGATTGAAATTTTTATGCGCGCGGTATTGAGCGCAGGTAATTTGATGTGATGCGCCTTGATTGATGGCACAAACACACACACACTTGCGATCGATTCGTTGGTGCGTGTTGACGGCCGCCCTGCCTGCTATTTTTATGTGAGCCGTCAAAGTGCATTCCTTTGTGCGCCCCAAAGGAGGCCAAAGAAAAACACGAGACGCTTTTTCAAAATATATCGGAAATCGGGCGCGTTATCACATTATATAATATTTTGATGAACCTGCGCACTCGCAAATTGAGTGAAAAAGTCCAAGTATTTTACAATATAAATATATTTTGTTAGAAAAAACGTTTTAAAATTTCAACTTATTTAATTTAAGGTTTAGTGAAATGAAATTAATGAGGTTTTGTTGAAAAACAAGTTTTCTCTGTGGGTTTGATTAGAAGTTGATTCAAATTAATCTTCAATGTTAGTAATTTCAATCGGATTTTCGTACAAAATAGAAATTAATTCTAAATTATATAATTTAATGATCCTTTGCTTGTGGGTGTTTGAAATTTAAAAAATATGTCAATTAAATTTTTTAATAAAATTAACAGATTTACAAAAACCTGGAGATTTTGTAATTTAAAATGAAGCTGATTTCAACTGAAAGCCCTTTGAATGATTGAAAATCAATTTGCAAGCTATTTTTCGTTCCTCTCTACCCTGAATGCTAATTACACTTTGCCAACTTTTACCAGGATAATATACGAACCGATAATTTGAGGCAAAGAAAAGTTGTCGCGCTGCATTGATTTTCAATACAGCGTCCAGCGCAGCTCGTGCGATATGCACAGAATTGAACGTGCAAAATTAATTAAGGGCAGAGTACATTTTCCAATATGTGTTTTGGGCCCAGGGCTGTCAGCACTGGTGATGGATGGATGGATGGATGGAAGAAGCGGCTGTCTCAGGACGGAGATGGAGCGAAAGCCTTTCCCCGCTCTCTCTCATATCAACATGGGGTACTTTCTCGAATTAGACACCACGAAAAGAGGAGCAGCTCGGCGACGTCGACGCCGCCCTGTCAATTATTAATAATATGTGCAGTGTCCACACAAAACCGTACGCGTATCCAATCATAGAAAATAAATACTTTTCTATTTATTTATTGTTTAATTAAAAGCTAATGCTTCTTTAGTTCTTTATTTTCAATCGGGAATTTCACGTTTCAAGTCTAAACAATATTTGCCGTTTCAATGTATAATTTAACCAAATGAATATAATTTATGATCTTTTTCTGACATGAAAGTTACTAATACAAGACCAGCAACAAGATCGTGACTGTTTAAATACCAATCACAAGTAGAGATTTATTATTTGTATAACAAGTTGCCTGTTTCGGTTCGTTTGGAGCCTCGGTATAAGGTTTTTGAAACCAGTTTAAGGCGTTTTGTTCATGTGCATAAATTTTATGATAGGAAAGAGTTCTTTCAATTTATGAATGCATTGTGATATTGTTTTTTTCTCTCTTATCATGTACTATGTTGCAAATGGGGCGCGTCGCATTGAGTAATTCCATCGTGGCGACGTCTCATAAGTCAATAAAGAATAATAATAATATTATATAAAAATATCAGAATTAATTAAATATAAAAAACACATTGCAAATAAAAAGTTAAATATTTAAAAACTGTAAATATGTAATTTAAATATTGTAGTAAATAAATAACATTAATAAATAATAATACAGAAATAAGTAAATATTTAAGGATAATAACAAACTATGGTAACATTTATTAATAAATGGTTAAATTATTAAAAATAAATTCAAAAAAATTTCCACAAAAATCGTTTTCAGACTTTTAGCTCTACCATTGCTCGCTTATGAAAAAAAAATTGACAATTAGGCACTGAAAAATTTATGGTCAAAGCGTAAATTATTGAGATCAGCTAAATTTAAGGTTGAAAAACGCGAGTTTTGTATTTCTTCATTAAAAATGTTGAGAATTTTGATCTTATTGAGTGCTGAACGAAAATTTCTTGCATACTCGTGAAATAAATAATTAAATAGAAAGGTTTGATGATTCCATTCCATATATTTATTAATTCTTGTTCTTTGTGAGATGCAAATTGCAGTCCTCTCGCGGAAACGAGGCGCCGACCCCTTTCACGAAGGACGGAAGCTGTTGAATTTGCATTTATTTGTTTGTTTTTGCGCAGCCGACGACGGGCGGGAAAGCGCGAATTCGCCATTTATTTCTCTCTCTCTCTGCGTCTCTGCCTTTGATATTTTAGAAGTCTCTCTCTTACTCGGCGCGACACGTCAAATAATGTTGGTGCGGCGGCATGTGTCATTTGACGCCCCAATTATCCGAGTGTTTGCACAAAGAATGAAAACCCCCTTGTCAATTTGCTGCAAGAAAATTATTTTCTCTTGTTACCGAGAAGGAAGAAGCAAAAGCGACGGGGGGAGTCGCAATAAAGCAGAGGTTCGCACACACAGACAAAAATTGAAGCCGGGAGAGCCACATTGTCTTCATATTTTATTGATCTTGCGCCGCCGCGCCACACTGGCACACACACAGTTCGCAAGAAGCAACGATGGATGGATTTGCCTCTCTCATCCATTTGCAGCAGCAGCAGCAGCGCAGAGAGAGATTCTCTCTCTTGGACCCTTTCCATAAATGCGACTTGTCCCATTTTCCGAATTTCCCTCGATTGTGCGCCTCCGTCTAGAAATCTCTCTCAACATAAAAAGCCTCTGTCATCTTTGTACAGAGACATCAAACGAATATATTTGAACCGGAAAGCCGAACCGAGAAAGGAAAAAAAATTCGCAATTCAACCACTTATACTGAAGAGCAAAAATTTGAATTTCCTAAATCGGTTAGATGCAAATCACGAGGTTTGATTAAATTCATATTAACTCTGTGTTTTGAAAATCAAATAAAATCTTTAATGCGCTCATTATATTGGGGCCTTTTACCTATTTTAAATAAACTTTTACAGGTATTTTAAAACAAAACGCATTTTCAACTCAAATTGTATTAATTCCTTTTTTACTCTCTAAAAATTCATTTCTATAAATTTCAAATTTGGATCAACACTATGATCTTAGTTCCTTTTTTATACTTACAAGCAATTTAAACAGTGAATTGGTGAAATGATAAAAGAAAATAGAAAATAGAAATAATTCATGAGTGTTTGTAAATCTCGGAACATTACATAATTTGTTCAAATTAACCACTGTTTGAACTTTCCTTTTGTTCATTTAAATTTCAAATTCCCGCACATTCCACTCGCTCCTCAAAACCAACAAACGCGCCGTTTCCAAATAAGCTGAAAGTTAGCTTAGCGGCTCCATTACACGAATTCCACGGCGGCTCTTCTCATCTCTCTCTCTGGAGATCAGGAATGAAGGAGCTGCGCAGAGGATTCCGCCGGCGTTGCAACGACGGCGGTCCGCGCGCGTTTTAATGAATAATTTAAGCTGAAACGAGTGTTAGAGGCGTGGTCGGCTTTTGTTCAGTCCGACCGACGCATAATTTTATTAATGGGCCGACAGAGCCGGAGCCAAAAACAATAATGGGGCTGCACACAAAGGGCTTCTTTATATTTTGTGACACTTCTTTTTTCCGCTCGTCGTTTGATCGATAAGCAAAATCAATGTGAATGTAAAACGCCATCCCAGCGCGGTGCCTTCGCCGCAGAAGTGGCATGCAAAATCAATTGCATGATGTGAATGCAAGAAGAAAAAGTAGCAGCGACACGGTTTTTGCCGGAGAGCGAAAGAGCAGCCATAAAATATTCATGAAAGATGAGAGAGATGGAGCCAGTGCGGCAAAATTTGCAATAAAACTTTTAATCAAGTTGGCGGATATAAACGGATGTTGTAAATTTCGGACCTAACGATCTGACAAAGACTGAATTGCACACATAGGCACTGAAATGACTTATTAAATTGTTCCCACGTTCTACTTTCACAGTTTTAACGCGAGAATTTTGTGAAAAATGAAGGAAAATTACATAATTAACAGTCGCAGAAAGTATTTTCTTTTATTAAGATAAATAAATAGTTTTATTATTTTATATTTGCTATAATTTAGTAAATATTAATTTATTATGCCTTTGCTTGTTTTTAAGACAAACTCTCACTGGCTTTGTCAATTATTTCTTTCGCTCTTGAAAATTTTCACTTTTTTTTCCGCTGACAAATTATTGCGATCTGGCGTGTGCAGCTAATTTAGTAAGGATAACACTGACCTGCTCCAATTCTCGTTCGAGCTCTTCCAGACTGGCGTCCGTGAAGGTCTGGTCGTCGTCGTCGTCCTCTTCTTGGTCGGCCCCTTCATTTCCGACGGAAGCTTTTTCCTCGGGCGGCGACTCGTTGGCCGCTGAATTTTGTTCCGTTGACGCAGCGTCCTCGGCGCTCGCAGCAGCCACCAGAGCGAAACACTGCGGGCAAACACCAGAAACAACACGTTCATTCATTTGATCACCCGAAACTCGTTTTTCCTTTACAACAAGAAACGTGCAAGAAAAAGGGCGCGACGCATGCAAGACAAAAATTACTGCGTTTTGCAGGGAGACATTTTAACTATAGAAACTTTCCTGGCCAAAAGTTCCTCTCCTTACAAAACTATGAACAAAACCTGCTGGTTTCTGAAATGATATATTAATAAAAAACGGAACAATTCTGAAGTTTAGCAAAAGATTTCTTCATTAACTACGAACATTTAGCATTAAACTTATTAAAATTTAATTATAATAAGAATAATTAAACCTTTCACCAAAAGTTTAGCAATAAATATTCAGGATAATTGGAATTTGCTAAATTTTTGTTTCTACAAGATGGTCCTTTTTTTAATGAGAAAAATTTATAATAAACTAAAACTAACCCGGCAATTAAATTCTATTGCCACAATATTTGTGAAACTAAAAAAAAATTTCCCTCCTTTCATTAATAAAAATAAAGAATTCAAACACCAAAAATTTATATATACAATTAATTTTCCTAATTTTGCATTAACGAATTAAACGTTCTGGAATTTTCAAAGTAATCCGAGCTTATTTTCTTGCAAATATTTGGATCAGCAGGTTAATTTTTACCAAAAGAACCTTAACTATAAAATTTTGATCTTAATTAACTTCGCAAATTATTTTTTTATATTAAATAATTGGTACATTATAAATTGCTTACCCAAGTTTTACATGAAAATTATCAAATTTAATCTAAAGCTGTAAAATTTAAAGTCTTTTTTTAATCTTGGTTTAAGTGCGTTTGATAAATCTATCCCATTGTTGGAGATAATAAAATTTAAATTTCTTTCGTAAAGTTGGCCTAGATTATGCTCAAAATATTGTTGTAAATTCACAACAACACGCTCCATTAGTTTCAGTTTTGCATAAATCAATAATCGAAACTCGTGCTATTCGGCACTGCAAACGCTATCTGTACATTTGTCTCTCTTTGCGGGTCACATTTTGCGTGTGTTGCGGAATGACGTCAGCAGCAGAGCCGCTGCGTGCGTGTATTCGCAAAGCTAATTTGCTGTGTCGTCGTCGTCATTGATCAGCGCGAACAACAAACCAAATACACTAGTCTCTGTTATCAATGGCAGCTCTCCGCGTTTATCTCTGCAACAAGATTAGCACGCCCGTTATTATTTTCCATTAATACACATTTCTCGGCGGCCAACTTATTCGTCAAGCGAATATAATTTTAGCTTCGCGCGGAAACCCAGCAAGTGCTTTCGGAATCCCTATAATGGCGAGTACACGCTCCTTTTTGTTTACTCGCACAGAATTAATTGGTAAAAATAACAAAGGGAGACACACAAAAATCGAAACAAGTGTAAAGGACGCGAAACAAAACGTACGTGTAGGTTTTCGCGGCGTTTTGCACCTTTTTTCATGCCAAGCTTTTATTTAATCCGCTCCGTTGTTTCTTGCACGAGTGGAGCTATATTTTGACCTGATATAATTTAATTTGCTCCTGGCAGGATTTCAGCCCGCGCGTCACGAAAGGGTTTAATTTTTATGGCCGGTTGTGTGGAAAGAGGCCAAGAATGCAATGAGCCGAGTCTATGCGTGCACCAATCAATATAGTTGTAGAAAATGGCAATTGCAAAAGGTCGCTGACGACGTCACGTGTTTTTATGGGATAGCGAAATTCAACTTGATCGGAGATTTGTTGTAATTTCTACATTTATGGAGAATCCAATCAAGAAAAGGCTCAATGCTTGAAACGCTAATAATAATAATTAAAAATTGTTATTTAAAGGATAGCAACCTGAAATAATTCTGAATGTTTGTTTTTAATTATTTATCATAATCACCTAATGAAACATTTGTCTAAGTTGGAGGCATTGAATAAGCATCTAGTTTTAAAAGTATTTATATTTCTGTACGGTGTTGCTAATAATTATCTTAAATTATAATTTAAAATGCATTATTTATAACTATTTTATTTCCTCATATTGAGAGAAAAGAAAAAAGAAACACAAATCAAATATTTCTAAAATATTACATTAATATATAATAATAAATTAAAACTATAAATAAATTTTATGTTTAAATAAAATATTAAGAAAATGGAGAATAAATAAATAAAAACGTTTTAAAAAGTTTTAAATTAAGTAATGAGTTTTGTTTTCGTCAACATAGAAATTTCGCAATTGTTCAAGTTGAGTGGAGACAAAAGACTCTTTGACACCATTTTGCGTCGGCAACGCCGTGAAATGCGAATCAAGCCTTCGTTGTGGAAAAGGAAGGGTGCGGGTGGAGGAGACAAAAGTATGTGTGTGTGTCCCATCGGAGGCACCCTCGTCTCGTCGCTCTCAAAGACGTTGGGCAAACAAGACAGGAATTCGTCGGTGAAGTGCGTCGAGTGCAAGGGACGCCCAAGAGTATCCTAATTGCATTGTTAGGCCGAACAGGATGACCATCGTCGGCGCGACCTTTCTTTCGAGTGTGTTGACACGCGAGAGAGAAAGAGACAAAAAAAGAGAAGGAAGAGAAAAAACCGGCCCGCAATTTGCTTTCAAAGAGCGAACAAAGTTCTCCGCCTGCGTATAGAGAGTTAGTTTTTTTTAAGTTTTGATCTTTTTGAATCACCTCTCTGCAGTTTCCATCAGTCATCACCAAAATTTGCCTCTCAATTATTTGAATTTGATCCTATAGACTGTTTGCAATAGGAAAATTTTTAAAAGTTAAAAAGTACAATGGAATTTGAATAAAATTTTGTCAATAAAAGCAACTCGGATTGAAATAAATTTTCAAATGAAATTACAAGGAGAAGAGGTTTGGAAACAAATTTCTAAGAAAAATAAATACATTTTCATTTCCCTTTTTGCATAATTTAGAATTTTTTGATCGTCCCTAAAACTGGAATTATGAAAAAAATAAATGAATAAAAAGTTTTGGGAAAAGCAACTTTGTTGACAACTGAAAATGTCCTGGGTAAAATTCTATTAAGAGGCAAAAATCTGAATACCAAAAAGTTGGCTGATGGGAAGGTGATTTTAGCCATTACGCCATATTTATTCGTCTTTCCCTTTTCAGAAAGTTGATTATTAGAAACGTTCGGAATATCGAGAGCGACTAAACCGCAGTGTCCGCCCATTTAGCCAGTAGCGAAATTCGATATATTTTCATAGGGATAATTTATTGAGTGCGGCGCGCACGTATCATTAGGCCATTGGGTGTGTGTGTGTGTGTGTGTGTGTGTGAAGGAAATTGGTGTTGTGTTGTGGTTCGATCTCGTTTCGCTTCATAAATTAAATCGGCCGAGCGCTAAATTGCTGAGTTATTAACACGTAATTATGTTGTATGTGCGCGGCAATAAATTCGGCTTGAAATTTTTAATCAAGATAGCGCGCAAATATTAATTTCGGAATAACCTATGATTTGGCGCCGCCGCCGCCGACATTCTTTCTTTCAATACCCCCTTTGTACGCGCGCACGGCCCCAAAGAAAACTACTGGTTCTGCCTGCGCTTATCTCGATCGCTTTTCGTGCAGCCGCTGAATATCAAGTGGGACACCGAAAAATAAATAAATAACCTTTCCTGCACGTTGAGAAAGTATTGCTGGATAAAAAGTTTTTCTTGTGAACATTCCGAATGATTTTGCAAAGAAAGGGTTTTCATTGAAGAAAGGGAAAATTTCCGTTCTGAGAACATGTCAAAGGAAATTGTAAATTTTGCTTTTGAGATCACAATCAAGGATTGTCAAGGATATTATGAAACTATCATAAAAAGTTAAGTTTAGCATAGAATATATTTAATTAATTATATTGAAGATTTTTAAAATATCCAATTGAAAAGACCCCGGATTTAAATAGAGAGTTATAATTCCAAAATAACAAACTGGTCATAATTACTAATAATTGAAATCAAATAATGGAATTATATTTACACAAGATCTCATTATAATTATTATTTATTCTTCTCGGTCAATGCAAAATTTTAAATTGGGAAAAAAGAGAGAAGAATATGGGTTTACAACTAGCAGATGCCTGCTAACACACCCCGCGGTAAACCTACCCAATGAAATATCCAAGCCATTTATCTAAATTTCGGGTAATAAAAGATAATGAACCATAATTTTAATTTTAAAAAATATCAATTATTTCGCAAGAAATCATGACAAAAAAACCGCCTTAAGGTTAAATTTTTATTATTGTTCTTTTATACAGGTTTTATACAATATTTGAAGTAGAATCTATAAAAATAATCAAATTTGATACATTTTGATTCACCTTGAATCAATCCAGGTGCATTTTTTATAGCTAAATAAATAAAAATATTTAAACAATTATATTCAGACATATTAATTAAAAGTAATTATTAACTTAAATATAATTCCTTTTATTTATACTAATTCATTTTAAAACTGTAAACTACCAATTTTTTTCATTTTCTACACTCAAAAAAATTATTTTCCCATAAATAATAAGCGACTTGAGAATTGCAGCATTTTCTTTGAATATTTCTTGCACCTCTGCTAATGTTCAGAATTTGACTTTAATGAAGAATGTCAAAAGGTCCAATCCGTGACCTGGATTATCGAATGCATTTTATTTTCCGACGGCGGAAAGCGACGCAAATCCTGCACACACAGAAACCGTTTTGGCATAAAAATGTATGTGCGCGTGAGAAATGAATTAAAAATTTCTGCACAAAGAGAAAAAGAAAGATTCTATGAAACCAAACTGGTTTGACCTTATTTTGTTCTTCCGCGTCGACAAAATCAACCATCTGCTTTGTTAAGTCCTTTTTTTGTGACAATTTTTCCTCTAAAATTGAGCTTTTTCCCAAATATGTGTAAATTTAAAACCCAACTAAAGGGAGGAGTATTTTTCTTTCTTTTCCCGTTTTCCTTGAAACTGAGAAATCCAAAGCGAGAAGAGTTTCCACTCAGACGCGCGTAAGGCGAGATGTATTTGCACTGCTT